ACCTGGGTGGCTCAGTAGGTTAAGCGTCTGCCTTCAGCTCAGGTCATGATCCCAGGGTCCTGGGATCGAGCCCCACATCGGGCTCCCTGCTCGGCGGGAAGCCTGCTTCTCCCTCTCCCACTCCCCCTGCTTGTGTTCCCTCTCTCGCTCTCTGTCAAATAAATAAATAAAATCTTAAAAAAAAAAAAAAAGAAATTCTGAAACTCACATGCAGTTTTGCAAGAAAGGGTTAAAGGGGAAGAAAAAAAAGAGGTTGGATTGGAGTGGATTTTTCCATGACTCAGTCATCAAGCAAAGCAGAGTGGCGGTGAAATTGCCGCCCTATGACTAAAGGCCTCCTGGGCTGAACCTGCTCTCAAGACTAAATGGGACATGGGGGTGGTGGGTCAGTCACTTTTACTCACTAGCACACTTGACCCTCCCAAATTATAGTATCCTGTTTTAAAAGCAGGTTCGGAGTTAAGGAATATACTTTTTGGGAGATCACTCTTGAGCATGAAACATCCCAAAAAGCCAAGAGGCACAACACTGTCCACCTTGAAACCTTTCCAAACCCAGTACCAGGGAAACAGCACGCAAACAGAATCAGACTTGGCGGGGAAGGCTGGGGGAGGGGGGTAGTTCCAAGGACACCGCAAGAAATCACCTCAGCTAATGTTGCACTTGTACGTATCAAATGAGTATTTGAAACCCACTTTCATCTCTTCTGTACATTGCCCTTGATGAAAAACAGCTGCAGACTTGGATTATCTACAAGGACAGAAGTGCATTATTTGAAGGTTTGATGATACCAGCACATCTTAATGTAATCAAATCAGAGTTTATAAATATGTCTAGGCAGAATGGAGGGGAAGCCATCACTCTCACACCTCGGGGCTGCAGAGGTCCCCCTGAGGGAGATCCATTTCTGGCTGTCACCTGAAGCAAAGGTGGGGGTGGTTTGCTGGAGGCCACGGCATCAAAGCAGTAAATTCCGCCGAGACACAACCATGACCAGACTGCTTTCCTTCCTATCTGTGCCCTGACTCCCTCCAAACATTCCGTTTAGCTTGGTGGACCTCCTTAAATATTTTATTTCAATCATCCTGGAAACATTAAAAATAGAAAAAAAAGGCTCAGCAACAGAAGAGCGAGGCTTACTCATGACTGCAGGACAGCAACTCTCCCTGGCTGAGGGGCAGAAGTTTACAGCCCCTGACCCCTTCATCACACACCTGCCACATTCCATGTGAACACGTCAAACCCTCAAGCCTGCCTGATTAATCACCCTGCCCAAGAATCTATGGAACAAAGTTCACATTACCGGAGAGCAGCATGAAGGGCCCTTCCGAGGTCAGGATGCAAGACCAAACAAAATTAACATGCCTGCCACATCCATCATCTTGTAATCTGCTTCCAGTTCTGTAATCCCCAAATGTCCGGACTGTACATACCAAGAACATTCCTCTTCGATGTGGATCAAAACGGTTCACGTACAGAGAACTCTGAATCTTCCCCACCTCCAAGAAAACCATTAACCATTTCTACTCATCAAACTGCAGACACATGCTCAAGTCAAGTCTCTGGGGACCTAGAAGTTTTAATGATTCTATCAAAATGTTTCTTCACACATCATAAAAAGAAAATTTAATTTGACCTAAGAGTAAAGAGTACACATCGTTAACTTTCCAGTGATGTACTAACTTGTTTAGATCATGTAAAGGATACTACAATCTGCACTGCGCTAAGTGTTTCACAATTAGTTCGAGGGAACTGATCTTCCAAACAAAATCAACTGGTAGGATTAGATGCACTTAAAATTATAGGATATATACTGTATTTTATATTACCATGGGATTACTTTTCATTTTGATTTCCAAACCTATAGTTCTGGGTATCTCAAGGGAGGTCTCCTACACATTTTACCTAGGAGAGATTCAGAGACATTGTGTGAGGGACTTGGGATCACACAGCTCATGCCTAGGCTGGGCTGGGCTGAGAGAAGTCATCACACTACTGTTTTCCTCTCATAACTGATATTATTTTTAACACTTTATGCTATAAACCTCCTAATTCTCTCAAATACTTGACCACAAAGGCTTCACCACAAGGTTATTTTATACTATAAATTCCCTCATTCTCTCAAAATTTCACTCAAAAAAAAAACCCTTCACCACAAAGATTTGCATCATAGATCATGTGACTATTACTGGATTTGTTCAATTCAAAGCATGCATTTCTAGACTGACAGAATAGGAAGTTGGACAACCAGGATATTTTATGTTCTGGTCATTTACACTCCTGTTGTCTGGGAAGAATAGTTATAAACCAGAGAAACATACATGATTTAGGAGTAAGGATTAAAAAGAAGGGGGACAGCTTTCTTACCTTTTAGAAATTCAGCAATTAGGCTCAGTTCTGTGGGCCAAGAGTGTACACACTGATTGTTTAAGAGTGACACAAAAATAGACATTAATCTGAGGAACATAAGGAGTGATTCTTAAATTAAAAATAAGGAAAAAGAATCATTGTGGTTTGCAGGCCAGGAGGATTTGAAGTGGCAAGACTGATTCATCAAATAATAATCAAATGAGTACTCTGTGCACAAAAGAATTCTGCATGTAGTGTTCACTTAATCTCTATACCTGTCTTCTAAGGCTTTCTATGTACGTTACTGGTGATGAAGCTGGGGATCAGTGAAGGGCCTTGTTGAAATCACAGTTACATGACAAAGCTGAGATCAGAAGAAATACACATTTCATTGCAACCATCGAGAAATATACCACCAATACTTAGGAATCTGATAAATGTCAGCATTCCCATCCCTCCTTAAAAGTTAATATTTTGAACTCTCTGTACCATTCTTGTAACATGAAAATGTGAAACTATTTCAAAGCAAAAAAAAGTCAACCTGCTGTTTCCCATTGGCTTGAGCAGGAAAACAGGACACCGTTCTCATGAAAGGGCAAGGAGGTGATGAAGAGAGGGTGTAGTCAAGGCTTGGCAAGGCAAAGGGCTGTGAGAGGTTTCAGGGGAAGGAGGAGGGGAGAGGACTGTGTGGTAATGATCCAGATGTCAATACAAGTATTGGTTCTTTCTTTCACTGAGTCAACAAATCCCGATTCAGTATGTCTTCCATGCTGGGTACAACATGAAGTGACTAAGGCAAGAAGCCTGCCCTCCGAGACTCAGTTGGGAAGGAGAGAGATGGCAACCAGCAATACAATAGCATCGGCTCAGAGCCATGCCACAGACTTCTGTGGGGCACTTCCACCCACCCCTAGGAGAGGGAGGGGATGCTTCCTAGAGGATGTGACGTTTATGCTGGGGTCTCAAAGCATGAAGAGCAGTTTCCCTGGGGAAGGGCCACCCAAGCAGAGCATATGTCCAAAGGCATGCAGGTCAGGGAGATCAAGGTGTGCCCTAGAAAAGGAAGGTGGTTCTCTGCCTACAGCCTGAGATGCATGGTGGCATTGGTAGGGGCAGCAGAGAAACGATGCAGGAGAGGTGGATGGGGACCATGATTCTGGGTCTGCCGAGGGTGGCCTGCATTCTGTACACTATGAGGAGCCAAAAGGATTTTAGGCAGGGGAGTGACACAGTTCATGATCAGATCACTTGGGTGGCTTTGTGGAAGATGGATTGGAGAGAGCCAGACAGGTGACAAGGAGGTCAGCTGTTATGAACTCCACTCGGAAGGACCTCACAGGCTGAAGGTCCTTGGTGACCCCTAGTCTAGCTTCCCACTGTGTAAGTGACAAACCGAGGTCTGGAAAGGTTAAGAGACTTGCACAAGGTTACCCAGCCCGCAAGTCACAGAGTTGGGACAGGAATGAGGATCTTCTGCGGCTGCTGCAGGATCCCTTCCCCTTGCCTAGACTGCCAAAGAGAATGAGAGCTCTCAAGCCTGGCCTTCCCAGGAGTGGCCACAAGTTTATTCATTGAAAAACACAACAGAAAGGTCAGAGAACAACAGTTGGTAAAAGAGCAAAAAACACGTTTTTACATTGGGCTTGGATTCCCACTATCATTATGTACCAGAGCAACACAGCTTAGATATTGAGTAAAACAAACTAACCAGACAAGGGAATTAAGGGAAAGTGCACAGCCACTTCCTAAATCGGCCAAAGTAATCAGACCTGGACTGTTCACACATGTGAAATTCCAAGACATGAGCGAAATCCTTTTTGAGTAGCCTGGATCAATTTTTTTCTTAAGAGCAGAGGATCACTACTTCAGCCGTGTTGTCTAAAAAGAAAGCCAGTTGGCAAGAAAATACTTCATCCATAGAACTACTATTCATGCTGTCAGTACCCAAAGATGCCCAAAGTAACTTCGCATGATTGCCACTGTCACTGAACTGAGATCCGAAGCCAAATGCCCTAGCCCTGGAATTTGAGGACAGGGAAGTGCCTTCTTTTCAGGAAAACTCAAATATCAAGGTGAAGCAAAAATGCTCAAGATCTGAAAAACCAAATAGCCCTCCTGTAGCCTACTCAGAATTTCACTCCAAAGAGGGTGCTCTACACGGAGAACTTATTTTCAGAATAAAAACAGATTTTCTGACCCCTGCATCTTTCCCAAAGGGCCCTTGAGACTTCCTATCTGCATGTGAAATGGTGGGGTGTCAGAGGATCTTGGGGCTGCTGTCCTCCTCAGGACTGAGCCCCCATTTTGAGTTCAAGTGTGTAGCAGGCCAAGGAAGAAAGGTAACTGTGTTATCCAACACCCCATTTCATACTGTACATACCAAACCATTAAAAGCAACAGAGCACATCATGTCTTCGATTGGTTACAGATGGAAGAAAAGCAGCCACAGTAATAAATTCACGGAGGTGGAGTGTGTCGTCACACACGGAGCCAGGATGTGTGATCCAGAAGGTGTGTGTGGGGGAGTTAATACCATATGTCGTTTGACTGCCGTGGGCCTGCTCCCATGTCAATAGCAACACGTTCCTCCAAAACAGCTCCGACACCATCCCTGATGCCACGGCGCTCTGCCAAACTGACATGACTCTTACCAGGTACTGAAGTCGCTGGCGCTCAGTCTCTGGGGTAAATTCTGAAGACATGGGGATGATTTCTCCATTTCTGATGATTATGGCCCTGAAATGGTAAAAAATTGTATTGTCAGTAGCCAACCCCATAAGTACCTCAATTCTATGACAACTCCACAGCTTGGTTCAGAGCACACATGAGGGGTGCGTGGGTGGCTCAGTCAGCTAAGCATCCGACTCTTGATTCCGGTTCAGGTTGTGATCTCAGGGTTGTGAGATCAAGCCCTGCATCAGGCTCTGAGCAGAGTCTGCTTGAGATTCTCCCTCTCCCCCAACTCGCATGCACTTGCGCTCTCTCTCTCCCTCTCAATAAATAAATAAATAAAATCATAAAAAAAAAAAAAAAAGAACACACATGAAATGCCCAAGGGACACATTTTCCTGCATGGCAACATTCACTGCTACCAACTGTGGATCCCTCACCATATTATAGGTATCTTTACTTTAAGAACATTACATTCTGGGGCGCCTGGGTGGCTCCGTTGGTTAGGCGACTGCCTTCGGCTCAGGTCATGATCCTGGAGTCCCGGGATCGAGTCCCGCATCGGGCTCCCTGCTCAGCAGGGAGTCTGCTTCTCCCT